TATTCGGTTAGCTCTATTTTTAATAATGTATTTTTCTTTCTTTTCATTTGTTTTTTGTTTGGGTTTTTTTGTTTTTGTTTTTGTTTTTTTAGTTTTATTTTTTACTCCCTTCACCAATAACACACACACCACCCCTGCCTCTGGCAAAGCACTTTAATAACATATTTCTTAATAGCAGAAATCTCATTATAGTTGTAATTCCACCCAAAAGTTCTAATATTTCTTAGAAGCTCCAGTGCCAGATATTTGAGATTATTTCTACTTTGAAAACTGATTTATCATCTTGAATCACATTATTGGACTAGAACAGATTAGAACAAGTGTTGTTCTAAGTTTGGGGTATGATAGTGCTCTACAGACCAACAAAGTCCTTGCCCTAGAAAAATACTCAAATATTTTATTTTAGGGAGTGAAAAGTGCAGCAAAGGAAGAAAAAGTGGTATAAGGAGAAAGCAAATGATAGGAGCAGGGGGCTTCATTTGGATACAGTAGTGACAGAAAGCTTCACAACAAATGAAAATCCAAGGAGAATCTAAAGAGATGAGAGTGAAACTTAACACAAATTTCCCAGGAGGTAATATCAACTTGAATACTCTGGGGGTAGGAGTGAGATCAGCCTGTTCCAAAAACTTCAAGAAGGCTGCTGTTGTTGCTGGCCAGGAAGTGGTTGGCAGAGAGGTGGGAACAAGACTGGAGATGCAGGCAAGACCAGATCCTGGGCTCTGGCGGGGACTCAGGAGGTTACGGTAAATGGGATGAAAGACCATCTGGAAGACAAAGAGTGACATCATCGGGAGAGAGCAATAGTGAAGCCAGGAAGACCCAGTTAGAAAGAATCAATGGTGGCCCTAGGATTGTGCCTGAGAAAGCTGGACAAATGGCTTTCATTAATGGGTTTCATTAATTATTTCACTGAGTAATACTTTTTCCATTTAGTGGAGAATAATAATAGAGATCTAAAATTCTGTGCTGGGGGTAAACATTGGGGTTGGCAGTGGGCAGATATGACTAAAGTACAATCTTCATTAATGATAGAATACAAAAAAAATTTTCAGTTTAGACTTATAGGTACCCACTGTTTTTTTTTTCCTTTCAGCATATTGTGCTGCTCTGTCATAACTATTTTGCCATATTTACTTTTTACCTCAATGAAAATTCCATATAAAAATGGACATCCTCACACTCTGAGTAGGGAATTTATTTACACATCAGCACCTAGAAAATTATTTTGTTTACTATATAATCAGCAACCTAGAGTGTCATAGCACTAGTTCCTCCCATCTGGGGCAACATCTAAGGGTCACCTATTGTGTACCAAGAATAGTGCTAGTATTTGAGGTGATAGAAGTCAATACATGTATTTCTGTTGCCTCCCAATTTGTGCCTTTCTTTCTCTTGCTACTAAGAAAAACATTTTGCATGAACAGGGCAAGCACAGGTGTTATGCAACAGAAATTCAGCCAATGTCCCCTGCTTCAAGGTACACTACTTCTGCCATCTTTAGCCTGTGTCAGATTGGCACTTGCCTATCCAATGGGGCTATCTCCTGTTCTTGTCTTCACCTGTTTTCTATTCTATAACTTTCCCTTGTTTCACTAGCATGTAGATGCTTTGAGACAAATATATTTTTAAAACATAGTAAGAATCCCCGCCGCCCCCCCCCCCCCGCCCATCTGTAGCGATTTTTCCTGAAGGCTGTGTTCTCCAATCTCTTGGCTTTGGTTGAATGGAAAAGCTAGGGAGGATTCTATATTGCTCAATATCCCAATAGTAATTACAAAGTGAAGATTCTTGGGTTCCACTCCAATCTTCCAAATTAGAATCTCTGGAGGTACAAATTAAGAATCTGAATTTTTACCAAATACTTCAGGTGATCCATAAAATTGAGTAACACTGGCCATACCTTCTATATTCTCAAGTCTTTCTTCTGAGATAAGGCACTAAGATTGCAGTAGGATGTAGTCATTCTGTTAGTGCTTGTGCTAATGTGGGCTTGTGGGGAAGCTAAGCACAGAGACAGGAAAAGTTATGTGGGCCAAGACTTGAGAGAGAAATATAATGGAGAAATATTAGAGGAGTGTCTCCTTCCTAAAGTACAATTTACAGATTCAGGAGAAAGAAAAACATGAGAAAAAGTCTATTTTCCATGTAGCCCTATACCAACTTTGGAACTCATTAAGAATGTATCTGATTAATATTCTTGTAACTTGTATTTAATTAGACCAGTAGCTTGAAGCATGTATGTGTAATTTTCATGGTCTGGTTCACGGACTGGTTTTCTACTCCAAACCTTAAAATAACAAGACAAAATGGTGATTACAAAGTTTGTGCTACCTACAAGCTCTCTCATATCAGAAACTAATATTTATTGTTCTCAGAAGGAGTAAAGTACCTACAAAAGAGATAAGAATTTGGGAGGTTAGCTACTGAATTGCATTATTTTATCTGAACTGCATTTTTTAAAGATTATATCTATCATCTATCATCAATCATCTATCTATCTATCATCTATCTATCATCTATCTATCATCTATCTATTTAGAGAGTGCATAAGTAGGGGCAGAGAGAAAAGGAAAGAGAGAAAGAATCTCAAGCAGACTCTCCACTGGGTGCAGAGTCTGACACAGTGCTTGATCTCATGACCCTGAGAGCATGACCTGAGCCGGAATCAAGAGTCACTCAACCAATTGAGCCACCAAGGCATCCCTAAACTGCATTATTTTATCATTGAGTTAAATCTATAGCAAATGACTGCATATACCTCTCTGAACTTTCATGTAAGTTTTCTGAGGATAAAATATGTAAAAGACAATCTTGTCACTTTTGAAAATAAAGGCACTCTATTAACTTCAAAATAGAACTCTATAATCAGTTCATACTCCCTTTTTTAAAGGGTTTCACTTATTATTTTTTAAGATTTATTTATTTATTTATTTATTTATTTATTTATGAGAACACAGAGAGAGAGAGAGTGAGAGAGCCAGAGACACAGGCAGAGGGAGAAGCACGCTCCATGCAGGGAGCCTGACGTGGGACTTGATCCTGGGTCCCCAGGATCACGCCCCGGACGGAAGGCATCGCTAAACCGCTGAGCCACCGCTGCCCAGTTCATACTCTCTTTGACCAAATTTTATACCATTAATATAATTAATGTTATTTATAATATGAACATTAATATAATGCATTGGTTATATAGAATATAATTATAATGTAAAATATAATGTGTATAAATAAATATGATTAAAGCAAAGTAAGAACCATGGTGTGGCAACTGTAAAATTAATATTTTTTTAAATACTGAGTTAACATATAGTAAATGTTTCATAAAAAATGCAGTTCTTTAAAAAGAGTAACTACCTGTTACCTGTCAGCCATAACAGATAGGCCAATCAAGTGACAACCATGACCAGCTGAGCTTTAGGAAATGTACTCCAACGTGAAACGTGTGATACAGAAAGAAATTCGAAGATAGGATATCAGGAAAGAGATTTAATGCTATCCCTTCTCTTCGAGTAAGCCAGTGTGGGCAGAGGAGTCCCAGGGCACAGTGGGAGTGAATGCAGTTAGAATACCTGAAATTATCAGTGTGTCTGGCTAGGCTGAAATTCCTCTGACCTGGAGAGAGGGGAAAATGAAAAGGCCTCCTGACTAGCAAACACAGCCTTCACAGTACCATAATACCCTCCTGGTGCAGCATCTGTCCATTGAAGGAGTTCCCACCAACCACTAGGAACATAGACATCCTCCCCTTCCTGAGCCCAGATAATCCAGTGGCAGAGAACATCTCTCCCTGCAATGCTCCCCTGATGTTCTCAACCCCGCCCACACAACCCTGCCCATAGCCCCTACGGACCCCCCACTATGTTGGTGCAAGTACAGCTTCTGAAGTCAGTCCCAGTTCAAGTCTCTAGGCATCATTTAAACTATCAGCACCCAGTTTGTTCTCAACATAACATCCATAGCCTGGTGGCAAAAATGAAAAGAGTTGATGCAAAGTATGTGGCATGGCCCTTGGCACAAAATAGGTTCTCTGTAAATCGGTGTTATTCTACTCTGTAAAGCATGTGAGTAAGTTTCCTCTGATTTTAATGCAGCATGGTTATCAGTGGACGTCTCCTGGATGCTTGGGCATTCATTGGCTTTACCGATGCTGGTGACCTGATCAAACATGATCCCTTGTTTAATTTCAACAAAGTAATGGATAGGTAGAAAGATAAACAAATGGACTTGAAATAACTTCATGCCCTTTATATATTTGTTAGGTGACTTGGATTCTAGGAGCTGAAAGACCACATTAGATGAGGCATTTATAACTATTAAGAATTAAATTACTAGCTCATCTAAAAGAGCAGTTATTGAATTTTGACTTCATTGTGAATATGGCTTAATTGGCTTAATTCCAGCTGTTCACTAGTAGTTTCTCAGTGTAAAAATGTTGCAGGCCAAAAGCACAGTTAGAAGTCCCTGCACACTTCCAAACTGTCATTTAATCTGCCTATAACACAAATGTTATCTTTTACCAATTCATTATCAAGGGCCAACACTATGTGTGGAAAATTACTCAAGTTTATTATGTATGAAAATCCCTGGAATTTGTATGTTAGATTTTAGACATCATAATATGTTTTACTGCTTGTCTTAACTTTGTGTGAATGCAGTGACCCTGTAGACAGGAGAATGCTTCTGAACCTCCTTCCATTGCTACCGTAGCTGCTGGGGTTGCCTGAAGAAACCCTGGACCAAGGTGTGATCTCCACAATGGAATGGGATCTAAGGCAGTGGCTCTCTAACTTGGCCATGTGTTAGGAAAAACTTGGAGACTTAATTTAAAAATAACACATATTTTTTAAAGTCTCCTCTTTTGAAGAAGGATCATTCAGAGAAATTCAAGAATATTTTAGGACAGGAACACATAGTTCTGAAATACCTACTACAAGGATCTTTCAAAGGTAACTATGGTGGATGGAGGGTTTCTTATATGTCTTTTTCATAATTTTCAGGAGAAATTTAGAGCCATCTAAGTGGAAAGCAATCCTAGGCCTGCATATGAGATCGAATATGACTTCTCCTCAAGTAGTAACTCGGTTGATAGATCAAATTGTCATAAACCCACATTACAATAAACGAACAAAGGACAGTGACATCGCTGTGATGCATCTTGACTTTAAAGTGAATTACACAGGTAAAAAAAAATCAGTTTTAGTTATCTGGCCAAATTAATTCAAAATTAGATTTGAAATATTATCAGTACCAATGAGTTAATAGTCCAGAAGAGTTGGATAATTTGTTATAGAAATCATTATAATTTAAATGGAATTGGGGAATGGAGCGAAACATATTCAATTATCTTCATCAAGGTGTTTAAATCCAAATTTCTAGAAAGTTGGTCCACAGAATAAAATGTCCTGAGCCCCCTATAATAATAAACTCAAAGGAGCAGCCCAGAGAAAATAATGTTACAATGCATGCTTTCTCTATTCCTTACATGAAAGGAAGGCAGGTCCGTCTACCATGAAGTACAGAGTAGGACAAACTAAGGAAGAGCATATACTCTCAGAGTAAAGTGAGTAAGAATTAAGATATCCATAGAACAAAGTTTTTGAAGGAGATTCGATAATCTTAATAGAGTGGCAGCTGGAAGACTTCCTCCAAATACCTAGATAATGGGCAAGATATCACTTGATGGAGTAACCTATATCCTGAAGGTATAAAGTTTAGTCCAAAGACTTTTCCAACCCCCAGTGAGGAGAAAGAGCTGCCATTTCTGGGCTTTCATGGAATTTGGTCTACACATGTATTAGAGCACTCAGCAAAGGCAGACTATTACTGTGGTTAATTATGTAGCCCTGTCCTTGAGGGTAAGCACCATATCTTATTCATTTTTGTGTCTGCCCTGGGTCTTACATGTACTGGGTGCTTAATAAATGTCAGGCAGCTTGTAAATTGTTGGAGAAGGGCTTTAAAAGTCGGCGGCCAGTACTGACGCTTCCATAAGTGCCCTGTAAAGCAGTCACCTAAAAGCTTTCTTAATGTGGAGATAATTGAGGAAAATCAAACAAGCCTCAGAACATTTGTCCAAGTGTCTCTTAATTGACCCTGAGGAACAGCCTTACCAAGATTTTCACAGAACTGACTCTGTAGATAGCATGATTACTTAAAATCAAATCAAATATAAATGATCAACTCTAGAGCTAAGACATTATTTATCTTTTTAATGAGTATTTAGGAAAGTAGAAAAGGATCCTGAAAGACCAAAAGTGATACCTAGTCCATTGTCAAAGGGTGCCACCCTGAGATGCTTCTTTCCCCTAAGATTGATGTCTAAAAAAATGTTCAGACTGCATAAAACAAAAATACATTTTTTTAGATAAAATGTTGAAAATAATTGATTTTTAAAACTTGTTAGAAATGCATGTTTATCTGTGTTTTGTTTTTCCAGATTATATACAACCTATTTGTTTACCAGAAGAAAATCAAGTTTTTCCCCCAGGAAGTCTTTGTTCCATTGCTGGCTGGGGGAGGGTTATATATCAAGGTAAATCATCAGACTCAACAAAAAGAAAATGCCTACTACTAAGAAGGATGCTATTATACTAGCCTGTGAATATTTTCAACATATTTTTTGCAACTCTTATAACAGTTTTCAGCAGTAGCTCTTAAAAGCACTGTTATATTCATATGCTGTGTATTTGTATAATTTTTTTAAAAATTCCAGATTGTGTTGAACATCTTATAAAACTATGATCCTTATTGGGGGAGAGTTCAAGCATCCCTCAAACTTAGTGACTGGTTTTAATATTACAAATACTTTGATAAAGAGAAAAGATATGTCTATTTAAGTAAGTATTACAAAGGTTACATTTATTTTTTAAATATTTATTTATTTTAGAGAGACAGAGCACAAGTGGGAGGGGCAAAAGGAGAGGGAGAGAAAGAAAATCTCAAGCAAACTCCACACTGAGTGCAGAGCCTGATGCATATGGGTCTTGATCTCACGACCTGGGCTAAAACTAAGAGTCCAAAACTTAGCCAACTGCACCACACAGACTCCCCACGAAATTTATTTTTGTAAAGTACATGGATAAAGTCTGATCAAAAGCCAATTTATTACCTGTTACATTTTCCAAATCAATAAAACCCTCTTTATTTATCATATAAAGTCTCACACTCACATTCCCTAAAAAATGAGAAGGGGATCCCCTTTAACTTCAACATGCTGAGTCAGCCTACTCAGAAGGGACACGAATCTTGCACTCAAGACTGTGAACTGACTGTTGGCTTTATTTAACAGGATGTTTTCCAAACACAGAAAAGATGCATATTAAAACTAACCGAACATAACTTTTTACAAAATTCCAGTACTTCATTTTCTCTAAATGTAACTACAAAATATGCTGGATTCAGGATTCCTTTTTTTTTTTTTTTAGATTTTATTTATTTATTCATGAGAGACACCGAGGAAGAGGCAGAGACATAGGCAGAGGAAGAAACAGGTTCCCTGCAGGGACCCTGATGTGGGACAGACATAGGCAGAGCCAGAAGCAGGTTCCCTGCGGGGACCCTGATGCAGGGCTTAATCCCAGGACCCTGGAATCACACCCTGAGTTGAAGGCAGAGGCTCAGCCACTGAGCCACCCAGGTGTCCCAGCTTTGGAATTCCTAATAGGAGTTATTGCATCTAGGGCAGAACTTTGACTACCCATTAAATACAAAGGAAAGGCACGATATAGTCTGGTGGGAGAACCTGACCTCTGGAGTCACAACAGATCAGGGCTGAGATATTTAAAAATCCTAATTGTAATAAGATGAAAAGCCACAGAAACTTGTGCTACCAGAAGCAAAGCATTCACAATTAAAACACTCTTATTCCTTGTAAAAGAAAGATGACGTTCTATGTCAAATCTTTGCCTGATGATTTCGACAAAGGTTCTCCACCACAATTACATTAGCTTGCCGAAATGTCTCATGTCTGCTGTCCATAAAGTGCATTGAAGTCAAAGACTGTATCTTTTTTATTTCCTCCACTTGAAAAATGCTATGATTTATTAAGTTTGAAATCTAAAGAGTAAAAATGATTCCTAGATAGATATTTTCTCTATAAGACTTCAAACTAAAAGATATTTATGATCACAGTGTAGACTCTTCAAAAACAAATTATCCACTAACAAAATTTAAGACTCCTTGTTCGGTAGGAAATGGGAATTTCTTTTAAGAGCTGAGCAAACTTGGCTCACATTTACTTATTGTTACTAAAGTTATGCATTTAATTGACTTAAGAAAGGTCTCTAAGAGTGGTATGGAGCCAAGGAAAATCTGTATCTGAGATCAATTTCATTTAGGAAGAAACAGATCATGTTTAAATACTTCCTGGGTGATGGAAATTTTAATGAATTTTATGAACTTTGGCTTATGATTTTATGATTTCCAGCTGCTTAATTGTGTAAAACTCAGCTTCCCCCATTTTGAGTATATTGCCCTAATAGCTAGGAAAACCATGAACATATTGTTTACTAGGAAGAAATGAAGTAATATTAGTCAGTTAAATGAAGGCAATTAGTAAACCTAAAATAAGCTTATTGACATTTTTATGTATGTTTTTAAGTGTGTATTCTCAATTATCCTTAAGGCAATTCATGTTGACAAATAAATATTAAATATAAGAACACTGTTCAAATTTTTCTTTACCAAAGAGGTTTATCCTATACCCATCCAATCTTTCTTATTCCTTGATGAGAAGCAAAATGGGCTTTGGTTTTATAATTGTTTGTGATAAAAACTAAAGTCTACCAACCCATCTTCAATCTTCATAGAATGAATGACAGTGAGATGCTGAATTCCCTCCTCCATCTTCACCTCCTAAAGTCCACTGTCAAACTTAAGGACAATGGTTTGTTGCTGGAGTCACTGTCACCAGCTGGAAATTCCCATTTGTGCACAGTTCCCAACTCCTGTTCACAGTCATTCTGGTACCTTGGTTAACCTTGGTACCATGGTTAGAGTATTTCCATAAGACAAATGATATATATTGGAGATTTTTTTGTCTTAAAAACCAGTATTAAACATTTACTGACACACCACTGAGTCCTACAGATGGCTTTGCACCTAAATTATATACATATGTGTATATATATACACACACACACTCTTCAGTATGTGGATTAAACTTAGCTGGAAATGAAGTCACAAACACTTTTGCAGCAACGCTGGCTGTCATATGTACTAAGTTATCATCAACTTTCTGCCTCTCTTGAGGAACCAAATAGAATTGCTAAGTATTAGAAAGTGCTTATCAGGTGCCTTTTCTGAGGCACTAGACACCTGCATGTTTCACATCCCTCTTGGGATTAGTATTTCAGTAAACAGAGAGTCATGCTGCCAATAGAGGAGTCATTTTGTAAAAAGCGTGGAAGCATACTCTGTTGCAAAATGCCTCCTTTCTCTTCCCCTGCATGAGGATAACAAGCTGATTGCCCTTAGACCAGGGCACAGTTCATTTGAGCTTTGTGTTCTGCTCAGTGTGCACCTGCTCGTTCACATAGCATCACAAAGGTGCTGAATGCCATTCTAAGGGAGCACCTCTTCAGGTGCCACATGAAAAGCCTCCTGGATTTCTGAGTTGTTGCTAATTTCCATAAATGAAACTCTTTGTGTCAGTGGGCTTTTTTTTCCCCCATAAGCAATACTGTAACCATTTGAAATTACTGAAAATGCCTACAGCCTGTCTAGTCCAATCCACCATCCCTGCTAGCCCTTGGGAACTAAAGAAGTGCTTTACTGTTATCCATTTTGCAAAATCCACAGATGGGCCTTATTATGTGCTTTAAAATACTAAGGTTTAGCATTTAGTTTCATTATATATACACACAGTATTCGATAATGAGAGTGAACTGTTGAAATAAATAAGAATGATGGTGGCTCATTCAGTGATGCATGTTGATCACTTCTGACTGGCTGGCTGCATTACCATTTTGAACAGGTCCTACTGCAAACATATTGCAAGAAGCCAATGTTCCTCTTCTATCAAATGAGAAATGCCAACAACAGATGCCAGAATATAACATTACAGAAAATATGGTATGTGCAGGCTATGAAGAAGGAGGAATAGATTCTTGTCAGGTAAATATATAAAACTGTTCACCCTGCATTTCCAGAAAGCATTGCTATATCATGATTTTATTGCTTCACAACGATTAGGGAATAAAGAAATCATCAGAGTTTTGACCTGATTTCTTCTTTTCCCAAACTGTGACTATGTTTGTTTGTTTGTTTTTTAATTTGTGCCTACTTGCACAGTATTCCGGAGTTGATGTGCGCATGAGAAATAAAACTACTTTTTAAGAACAAATATTAAAATAGGATGTCTTTAGAACCAAGGCATAAAATATGAATGTGTACGATAGGTAAAATATGTAGTATTGGCCCACTGTTGACCTTAGCTAAATCTAATTCTAATTCTTTAAAACCCTGTGCAAACTTCAAACAAACAAACAAAAAGCCAGTCTGAAGGCCAATTTCACCTATTGGCTTCTAATTTTCAACCCTGGTTTTGAGTATGGGCCAGAGGTCCAGTGACAAGAAATAATTTCTGCATGTAAACCAGCCTGGATAGCATGGTTAGGACCAGTTTGCAGCAAACCATTTGTAAGAAGGTTAAAAATAGAACTTACTCAACAGCGTGCCATAACCCTGGACCTGGGACTCCTAAACTAGGATTTTCATCTTATCTTTGACATTTCATTTTAGAAATGTAATAATGTGAACTTGCTGAATGTCAACACTGCAATATATTTGAAGTATCAATGGCTTTTGACTTGGGTGACCACCAGAGAAAACTCCTACCCACGAACTACCCTCATTGAAGACAAAAACATCTTATCACTTAGAAATAATGTAGCCAGCTATTTAGCCCCATTAAAATCTACGTATGCTCAACAAATAAAAAGTAAATTCTTCCAGATTTTAGAATTATTATTAATTTTTTAGGTGCAGCATGGAGTAGTCATGAAAGCATAGATTCTGTGCTCAGACTACTCTTATTTTGCCCTTGCCTAAATACTTATGAGTGAGACTTCAGACAAGTCACTTAAATTTTATTGAGAGATTTAAAAACCAGGTAATACATATAAGCCATTTAAATAAGCACTCAAGGGATCCCTAGGTGGTGCAGCGGTTTGGCGCCTGTCTTTGGCCCAGGGCGCGATCCTGGAGACCCAGGATCGAATCCCACGTCGGGCTCCCGGTGCATGGAGCCTGCTTCTCCCTCTGCCTGTGTCTCTGCCTCTCTCTCTCTCTCTCTGTGACTATCATAAATAAATAATAAATAAATAAGCACTCAAAATATTAACAATTTTCACTATGAGACTTTGTAAGTAAATTTTCTAGCATTTTTTATATACTTGAAAATTAATAAGATATTGATGCATTAACATCTACTGGCTTAGATTAAACCTGATAGCAGGACTGAGCAAATGAATAATTTACAAATGTGGATTTATACCAGAGGAAAATCTTTCACTTTGTTAAAGAGTAAACAACTTGTTATATATATTAACACATATGTCACCATAATTCGACTTGATACAAGACTTTTTTTAACAGACACTTAAGCAGATGAATCTTTATATATATCCTCTAGTTAAGCTAGTGTCTCAAATCATGTTAAACTTTCAGTTTAGTTTTACATTTATTCTGCTTTGTTGAACACTTGCAAATCCAAGACAAATAGGATAGCTTTCTTCTTGTTTAAAATTTATCTCTGGATCTTACACATTCCTTTTAAAATGAAAAACATGCTAAAGGTAAGATATATTGCCACTTAGAGGGAGATTTATAGAATTATTGTTCAGAAGGGAAATCAGCTGTACAACTTCAATTACAGTTAATGGGGGTTGTGTGGCAGGTGCCTCATGCACTAGGTAGAAAATATGACCATGGATGCTACTGATATTAGAGTTACATTAAGCCCATCGCTCATGCCAGAGCTCTGAAATCTTATGTTTGGCTCTGATTTCTAGAGAGACTAATTATGGTATCAATTAGCAAGTAAGAAAGCCACACATGGGGCAATATCTTCTGTAATATGTTATCATGATTGAGTAATCGATAGTCTAAAGGGTCACATGATTTTCTTTGTTCAAATTTAATATTATGTTATTCAAGAGGGTTAACTAAGAATACCTTTAAAATTACGAAAATGCTACTATCGATACATCACTTGAACATTCATACATTCTTAAGTATCTTCTGGCTTACCAGAGGCTTGCATTTGCGGGGCGGTTGTCTGGATTTTAAGGCACCACAAGTGGCTGTAGAAGTCCCCTCTACATGGAACTAAGTGAATGACATGAACAGCTAACTATGTGGAGCCTTATTCTATACCAGTGATTTTCCAAGCATGGCCTCCAGTCCCCCAGCATCCCCTGAGAACCTGTTGTAGGTACAAATTCTCAGGCCCCAGTACAGACCTGCTGAATCAGCAACTCTAAAGCTGGGGCCTAGCAATGTGTGTTTTAGCATGCTAAAACCACTGGTATGGAAACATAAATTTTACGTTAATACTTTGGAAATTTACTCATATTTTTGAAGTCCATACATATCTCTGAGATAGTGGAAGAAGAAAATATCTTCATTGAACAAATCAGCAAATGAAGACAAGAAGTCACATAACTGAGCTGAAATGGTATAGTTAGATGAGCAAAGTGACAGTCCCAGACATAAGAGGTCTCTCAACCACACAGACAACTCAACTGTTGGGCATCAAATCTGCTGGTGGATCCTTTGAATACCTGCAACTGACCCAGTACATGTTGGACAATTTAAAATCCTCATTCATGGAATCAATGTCTAGATTCTATTGTCTTTCTTAAAAATGGAATTATTTTTTAAAAAATATGAAGAAAACCAAATGACTCCTTTTAAAAATATCCAAACAGTTGGGGTTTATTTTTTAATAATCTCTTTGAGCTTGTATTTATCCTTAACTGTTCCATAAATATTTATGGACCCATATTATAAAGGTTTATATATAAACCTATAAAGGTTTAGGATACAGAAATAAAAATCACAATCCTTGCCCTCAAACACATTTGTTACATCTAGAAAAGAGGTAACCTATGGTTGCCAGTGTAATTTATGTTCCTCTGTACCCAAGCAAGAAAAGGTGCTTTTATACACCACAGGTTTTTCCCTTAAATATGGTCCCAAAGATAATAAAGAATCAGACAAAAAGTCTTTCAGGATATTTTTTAACACAAACTTGGATTGAAATATTCTATTATACCAGGGATTGCAACAAAAGTACACAAGGCTTTAAATTCCTTCATAAATATATAAAAAATATCAAAAATTCTGCATAATTAACATAAGAGAAATATTTGTCAATGCCATCATTAAGTAATGGTACTATGTATTCGCATTATGTTCTTTTGCTTTATACAGAAATACTCATGTGCAAATGAAATGAACTCTATTAAAAGCTGCTAAAATTAATATTTAAAAATTAGAAACAATTCTTTCTCATTTAAAATCTGTGAAAATATGTGTGCTTATCATAAATTATATCATTGATATGTCTATTACAGTTGAAATATTAAGGTTTTTTCAGATCTGATTGTGTTCATCTAAAGACAAAAAAAAAAAACACCCCAAAAAACTAAAATCAAACTCATGTCTGAGTTTTTAGTTTCTTTGAACACACAGTGTGGAATAAGTGTCTTTTCTGCAAAGCCTCTCATAATTCTTAGAACATACTTCTTTTTGTTTTGAGATTTTGGTTTCAAGTTTTTATTTAAACTCTAGTTAGTTAACATATACTGGAATATTAGTTTTGGGAGTAGAATCTAGTGATTCATCACTTCCATACAACACCCAGTGCTCATCACAGTGCCCTCCTTAATATCCATCACCCATTTAACCCATCCCCACACCCCACCTCCCCTCCAGCAATCCTGTCTGTTCTCTGCAGTTATAAGTCTGTTTTACGGTGTGCCTCTCTCCCTTTTTACCTCTATATTGATCTGTTTTAAATTCCACCTATGAGTGAAACCATATCATGCCTCTTTTAATAAAATGATCAGCTTTTAATACATATTTTGGTTGGGATACTTCTCATAGTTGTGCCTTAGAGACTTTCTTAGTACCTATTTAAATGCCATAATGAAAGTACGGAAACTTTTGCTGTAAAACTACATCATGAAGTAGTATAAAACTATTTTTATACTACATGTATAAAACTACATACAGATTGTGTTTTAGTTGTCATAGTTTCTCATGTCCTTAATGAGCAGCCAAAGGTTCTCATTCTTGACCGAGAGTGATGGTCAGGAGATAAACAGATGACTTGCAACTAAATCATATTTTTGATCTTTAGTTTTGAATTGATTTGCTAAAAATAACCTTAGGTCTTTACACCAATTGACACACATCTACAATTTTCTTTTGCAATTTACTCTTTAGGGGGATTCAGGAGGACCATTAATGTGCCAAGAAAACAACAGGTGGTTCCTGGCTGGTGTGACATCATTTGGATACCAGTGTGCCCTGCCTAATCGTCCAGGGGTGTATGCCCGGGTCCTGAGGTTCACAGAATGGATACAAAGTTTTCTACAGTAGGGTGTTCCCTGAACCAACATGAAAGTCCTGCAGTTTTCCCATTCCACTTTAAGGAGCATGGAAACTGAGACTTTTGCAAAAATGGTTTCTAAAAGAGTTTATTCTTACATAAGCCACTGCAATGCTGAGTAGTATGAGTGAACACAAAAAATAATCTTCACCATACAAAGTAACTTCAAAATAATACATTTTGATTTCATTGTGAACAGCTGATCTTTCACAGAGATCATTTCCTTTGTTTTTAATCATTTTTATCATGTTCTCTTCTTCAAAGGAATGCTGCTGTAAAATATATCCTATATACTTAAAGTTTTGGCAAAAATTAGGAAAAGAAATGCAATAAACTTTTGCACACTAAGTTGTTATTTGAAGTAAACTACTATAAATTATCTAGTTCCACCTAAGATAGCTATTTTAAGAATCTCAATAGTCTTCCCACTTTTCTATCTAAGTGTATTTCCAATTCATCTTGAGCATATCCTTAATATTTTCCCCACTCAAAAAATATGTGCTTTAAGCTCATGTAACAGATGTGGACTAAACTGATTGCACAATCCTCTCAAGCTAATTAAACAGCAAATAAGCACAAGTCTATGCATCACCCTTATATCAAAACAAAAAGTAAATAAACTGATACTGTCATTCTGTTATTGGATCATTTTTTTTCCTGGATTAATCATACCTTCTATTTATCTCCAGCTAATATTTTTAAGTTTCCAAAAAGTAATCAGACATATCCAAAAAATGCAACTGTTACAAATGTTTATTTTCTGATCTATGTGTTTCACAGTGAATGTTTTTAACATGTGCAAAACTTACTTAGACACAGCTGAATCACCCATTAGAAGGCCAAAAATGTGGAATAAATGAATTTGCTTCACTGCTTTAATCTCTTGGATCATTTCCAGAGTAAGTGCAAACTTCAATTTAGCTTATCACACAAAATCTATTGATTTGGGAAGACAAAATTCACACCTACTTAATACAGATGCACACACACATACACACAAATTCCATGGGTCTATATGGTCCAAAATAATAAAAGAAAGAGTAAGGTTTAAAGGAGTGTAGACTAGCCCTATGGAAGAAACATAATTTGGGTTACATCTGAAAGGAATGATTATTACTGATGTTTTGAAGAGGCATTGGGGCTACTGTGTAGGTAGGGGTTCAGGGAAGTTCAAAGATTGAGGATAGTAGATAATCATGTGTTGCTATACCAAAAGTCTCTCTTGCTGGGGAACAGAGAAAGTGAAAACCATATCATATAAAAAGGTGTGGCTAGATAATTGGGCACTACAGATTCCTGGTAAACAAATATGGTATTTATTCTTAGGGCAAAAATCAGGAGTCCCCAAATACACTACTCTTTTTAAAACCTTTCCAATGACTTGATCTTAGGAGCAGTTAGAAAGGATGGAGAAACAATAGTAAAGTGTGTTGTTTGATTTTACTCCCTGGATACTCACAATTCACATTTCAAGACATGTATTAGAACTATGTTTTGAAAATAAAAACAACAGATACACCATGTACTCCTTTTCATTTCTCAGAGGCCAGCTAAAATTTTAAGAAACTCGAAGGACAGTCTCACTGTCACTGTCTAATAAAAGAGAAGCTGATTGCATGGGTTTAGTAATTGATACCAGAAGAGCTATGCAAGCCTGGATCAAGACAAAAGGCAAACCATGGCCCTTCCCCATTGCCTTGCCTCTCCTGCCATGCAGCTGTTGTGGTGGTCATGGGTGGCACAGACAACGGGAAAGCACTTTCTCCCTTCCATCAAGTCCTGACCTGAAGGAAGAGATGCACGCTGTGGGAGCTTGGAGGGAAGTGGTAGATCCCAGCGGAGATGGGTAACCACGCAGAGAAAGGGAGTGCTAAACATGGGCAGATGGAAGCTTAGATTGCAGCTGTCCTTCCCCTTCCCTCAGCCTCCAGGCAGCTGAAAGGAAGTCAATGCCCGCTCATTTCTATTTGTCTCTCGGTTTTGCCAACCAACTCTCGTTGTGAATTGCTTTAATGAAAGCTCTTAATTTTCCAACTTCAAAGGTTTACCAGGGAAAAGATAAGGTTTAAAGTCCTCCATAACCCCAACTTCCATTCATACCCTACCTAGATAGTCACTTGTCTTCCCCTTCATGTACTGATGCAAACATATCTATTATTTTGTTCACTTAAAAGATTTAGACAATACCCATGGTCATTCTTCAGAAACAAGAACTTTTTATTTACGCAAGAGGAACACAGGGACATTTGAAGACCAGATAGTTACAAGTCTCTTGAGAAGAAGCCACACGCATTGAAGAAACTAGCAGACGATAAGACAAGAGGAGCTACAGTTCACTCTCTCGGCCAAATCCTCAACACAAACACATGCTCATTGATGCCCTCCAACCCATGTTTGCAGTAGTTCATAGTTTGTCTCCTTGGTGAATCATCTGTGTGCTGTGCTTACCTCCACAGTGATGGTGACCAAGCACCTGGTCCCAACCGTGAGACCACTTTACCTGCTGACAGAGGCTGAACAGAGCTAGGGAAAACCTCAGGCCCCCTCTGCAGCCATCTGCTTCTGGTCTTAATCCCTGCCCCCAAACAACCATCTTTGTTTTGTGGGCAAGGGAGGGACCAAATGGATTCCAGAATCCTCAGAGAGCTACTTGTGGTTATATAGGCAACATGTGAAGACATATGATTTATATTGTGTATGCCACTTTTTTTTTGTTCTAGACTGAGTGTAATATTGTTGATACAGCTATTAACAAAGTTGTTACAAAATCTGTTGAATTTTGAACTAAAAATAATCGTAAGGCACATGTCTTGCACAATTGAAATTAGACAATTCTTGCCTCTAAGTAAAATATTTGAGTAAATTTCCACCACAGTTAACGAAATAGCTTCTTATTTCTGAAGAGGTTTCCTAAATGTTGTCTGATCCCAAAGCAGAGAAACTGAAAGATGAACCATTTCTATAAAAGAAATTTTTCTATGGTAATACATCTACATGTGTGTGGATTCAGTTGTAAACAGGGATACATTTCTTTAATCAAAACAGCATGTATTGAAAAATGAAACACCATAAAAATAAATATTAGAACAGTCCATTTTTATCAAACACTTATGTAAAGGTAAAATAGTTTTGCACACTGTAAATTTTAGTACAATTTACATTACATTAACTAGATTACAACTTATGAAAAGTGACAGAAACAAAAATAACTGCTTCCAACACATATAGTTAGTTCTCTGATGTGTTGACGGCAATTTCATCTGCACAGTCCATTCCATGTACTTGGAAGTTTGGGTGCATCCTTTAGCGAAATAAGCATGTCTCACTCATTAGCACAGCGTATTTTGTAAATGAATTAACAGACATATAAAAATTATTTTAATATTTGCCTCAAGGGGGAGCTTACAGTTCATCTTGCAGACCCTTTGAGATTTCAAGCCATTCCAAGCTAATGTTCTGATGCCTGCCATTCCTGATGCAGATCCAGAATTTGACTATTTTATTTTCTGTTTTGGAGCAAGTCAGTGAATTATTATACTTCCATGCCACTTTCTTTTCTGGTGCTTTTTGAAATCCACAATGTGGACTGGGTTGGGCTAGTTTTTGTTCTTCCTTTACTGAAAAACATAAGAAGAAGTAAGTTCAACATCTGAGCCCTTTTTATGGAAATAGGCATGTTTGGGTCCAAATGAAGATATCTCAGACCCTTTCTTCTCTCACCAGCATATCTACAAAAAATTCTAGATTATTCCAGTATGTGAAGATGGTAAACAGGTCATGTGAAATGATGAAAAAAATAAAACTGATCCCTGTTTGACCATTCTTAGTTTAAAATCAGACACATTCAGACACACACAGGCAAATGTGTCTAACAATACCAAAAACATTCATTATAATCACCCATAAATCTTCATTTTATTTGATCAGTGATTTTTGAAATTTTGCTTTTTGGATATTCTTCCATTCACATATGCTATATTTAATGCCAAATCATCAAAATAGTGCTTTTGTCCTAAGTATGAGGACCTTCCTAATCCCCTCCTTCCCTCGGTTTTACTGTTTTATAGTAAACTCACTTAGTCCCTGAAAGCTTGGTTTTGCTTCAGTTTCTTCAACCAATGTAGTTCAAAGTAGATTCAGGCCTGGGTAACTTAGTTCCCAGAGATCTGAGAGTGAACTTCCCTCTTGTCAGATGTAGAATCTGAGCTCACACTTCCAGCCCCTGTAGAGGGCTGGCTGTCTTCTCTCTCTCTTTCCATAAAATGGCCGCTTCTCAGGCTCCTGCATAAATGCCTGTTTTAGAGTTTAAGCAAGTCCTTCTCTACCAGGCTACTTATCAAGACCTAGATTCCTGAGTCCAGTTTCCTGAGAATGAGCCCTCACCTGGACCACGTAACCACTTCCGGTTCCTGTAACCGGGGTCCTGCACTTTTGGCCTCCCACAGATTGTCCCTTCATGGGCATCTGACATCTGCCCCACACCCTGTGGGTGTCCCATTCTGTCCATTCTCAGTCTACCAACAGTGGCAGAAGTCCTTCCAAGACAGAAAAGAACTTTTCCTAACAAGCCTGAGCAATACAATTCTATAATATTACTTACTTGACTTCCATTTAACTGTGAATTCGTTATTAATAAAATATGCCCAAATTATATGTTTTGGAGATTTGCTTCCAAAAAAAGTAAGACCAACACATCTTTATCTACAAAGTCATCTAACATGAATGAAAAATAAATCAAGCAAAGTTTATGAAAAACAAGAAATGTTTTCAGATGGTAAATAAAAGGTGGTTAAGTTATTAATATAACTTAAACTTTTGTGTAGCATTAGTATTTTATTTCAGAGTTACTATTGGTTAAGGAAATAAGTCATTATTTTGAATATGACATGGAATGATATAAGTCATTATGTGTACCAGATTGGAATTTAAACTTTCTGCAAGGCACTCAGATGATAATGGAGTTGAGTCTTTGGTGAAGTTTCTCCTTGCTTTCCTGGAAGAAAGGAAAAGGGGACCATCTAAGAATGAATGAATTAAGCACTACAGCTAATTCTGGCATGTGGAGGTACTCAAGTCTGGTTTATTTTCTCACTCTGAGAATTTCAAACAAGTGAGAATTCCACAGATCTTCAAAGGTGTAAAAATCTGGAAGACTTTTATCTTAATAGAATCTCCACAATAATACACTATTTGGAAAAAGAAAAACAAACTTTAGAGAAAACTCAGTTACTGGCACTTTAGTCATTTTTATTTTAGAAATGACAATGTCTACATATTTTTAAAATTGTTTTTTTCAAGCTCATTTGTTATTTACAGCTCTTCCCTTAACAATTTGCTGAATTAAGGGAGGATTTATATCACATCCTCTCTCTACTTCTCTGCTTTTCAAAATGACTAATCATCTTTCCATCTACAGTCTTAGGAATTAAGGGAAGAAACAAGATATTTACTCTCATTGTTTTTCTGTACAAAACATTACAAAAAAATTTAACTGTGTTTCCCATATGTATTAGAAAACCCAGAGAACACAAAGTGTAGTATTAATTTGTCATGCTTACTTATCATTATTTGAAATGTCTTATTTAAATAGCTCGTACAGCATGCTTTGTGTCTTTTAAACAATTTATGTGAACCATTTAGAGTTTACATCTATTTCATGTTTTTTTGTCTTTCTGGGGCTTTTTTTCCCTAGTGAATTCTATTATGGTTTATTTCAGAAACAGATGAAGATAGACTCATATCAAAAGAGAAATATGCAGGTCCTTCTCTGATGGAGGCACTCAGTTTTTGTTTAAAATACTGACAAAGATCCCTGTTAAGGTACCAAAAAATGAAATAGAAATGAAATGAAACAAAATACTGACAAAGATGGCTAGTTTATTCCAGCAAATATGCTCTCATTTAAATGCAGCATCTTTTTTCTTTTAATACATATATTTCATATACTTTTTAATTGATAAATTGACACACATGAAAAAATTTCACCTCTAACTCAAGGGTATGATTAAACAGATAAAAAAAGGATACTCCCAAGAATCTTGCTGTTAAGATATACCATTTTGTTTGAGGCTGCCTACTAAAAGTGACCTGTTTTTACCATTGGACTTTATTTCCTATACTCAAAAGACCCTTTGGAATTAAACAAAATCCTAGTACTTAAAAATTTAAATAAGTATTACAGAGTGCACCCAAAAATCAAGTCTTGACATATACAGGTCAAGATGGAAAGCTTTAGCACTAATGCTTATACATAATAAACAGGAGACAGTATAGTATAGTTACATACATTGTCAGCCTGAAAGGATTCAGATATCAGATGCACACCATACACACACTAGCTATGAGACCCAAAGCAAATTGTGTAACCCATCTAAGCCTCCATCTTCTCAACTGAAACACAAAAACAAGTGGGTACCTACACCATCCGACTTGTGAATATTAAGTGAGATAATTCATGAATCCTATAAACAAAGCCTATCTCATTGAATTGTATATACTGGATTTAAACTGACAGATAATGGAAATCAGAACGTTTTTAAAGAAAATTATAATTTAATACTAATATTTTTAATGAGTTCTGGAAAACCTACATAAAAGTTTTCAAGTTCTCTCTACATACATGAATTATTTACCTTTTATGCAGCATCTGGAAACAGCAAGTTCCAAAAGCAACCAGGATCAATAAAAGCAGTGGGATTGTTGGTATAACAACATAAATTAGATTGGGAATTATGCCTATAAAAGTAAAACAGTCTTAGTATAAAGAGACGGCTGAGGCAAAATTCTAACACTAAAATTATATAAACATTTTCCAAAACTTAAAAATAAAATAGAATTATTACAAATAAATGAATTCCAAGAAATCTTATTCCCCAAATATTGAATAATCTAATGAAATAATATATATTTGTTTGATAAAAATTAAGAACAAAATCTTACTTCACTGGTTGCCATGCTCCAGTTCAATGTCCATATTTCTAAAACTATTATTTAAATCTGCAATTTAGATAGGGGCTAGTTTTCACAACATATTAATAATCTTAGCTATCTTACTTCATTAATCCTTCTCAGTTATTACTTAGAGAAACAAGCACTGATTATTAAAATAATTGTTGATTTATTGGTTACATAATTATCCTAACCAATAAGGTCAATGCCATGATGATATGCAAGACTCTCTGGGATTAAATCAAAATATTAAATATTAGTAAACATTAACTAATGATACAGTCATAACCCAGGGACACAAGATTCCAGAAGCATAAAGATTTGATCTTAATTAAATTCTAAAATGAATAACTTCTTTAATCCTGCTTCATCACACTTGACAATGCTAGGAATTCTTAGTAAAATAAAAAACTGCCACATTTAAGTCCCATACAGATTAAAATCACTTTATTAAACATTTTTTCAGTGTCATAAAAGGGAAAATATTCCTCATGTAATTATTTACTAATATTTTTAATTGGCTTTATATGTTCTGACTTGTTTTAAAATCAGGCACCTGAAAAGTAAAACACACTAAGGTTTAATATCATGTCCGTACAAGAAAAGCAAATTGAAAAACTATACATTTAGTTAGCAAATCAAAAGCTGTCGGCATTACCAATCTAAATTATGCTAGTCAGTGACCAGATTTAGATCAAACTATTCATTTAATTGCACATCATGTCCTTTGTTAACAAAAGATATATAAACTGAGGTCTTAGTGATGGGGTATTTTGGAGATAACTTGCTATGCTTTCACCTTTTCTTGAGCCCTCAATACATGACTTCAGGGATTTTAAGAATTCAGGAAATATTTTCATTACTTTTCAAAATACCATGATGATCCCTTATATATAATAGTAAAGAAAAAGAGAAAATATTTCCTACTCTTTCGTGGATTTTGGATCACCTGTGGAAAGATTCTGCGACTTTGAGTCTTTGGCTCAATCTTCACAAATCAACTAGGATAAATCAAGATTTCTGTCCAATTGTCACAGGACCATCCTAAAAGGAGTGCCTAACTAATACTAATAGCAATTTCTGATCGGGACTTACAATTCCAATGAGGGAATGTGCAGCTGCACTGGGATTTCATTATTTCTTTTGCCAGGGGCAGCTGAGTTGAGAGCTGATTGTATGCATTCTTTCCACCCTCCTCCTCCCACCCTTTCCAAGTGATGTCACCTTGTTAGGCTAAAATCAGCCAAATGGGAGTACACACCACCACAGGACTCTGCGAAGGATACAATTCAGGCTTTTCCCCTTATACCCATTTCCACATCAGTCACTCCCTAAACATTTACCAGCACACCACTGTTGGCAGGCCGCTGAATGTGCCAATTTTCATCATAATGCCCATGTGTTGTCGAATTCATGTTTCCATGTAGATTGTGTAGTTTATTGCTAGTTATGTCTACTTAAAGTGAAAAATAAGAAGGAAACAAAATAGATTCTTTTGTTCAGAAACTATCTTAGGGGACACCTGAGTGGCTCAGTTGGTTAAGCATCTGCCTTCAGTTCAGGTCATTATCTTAGTCTTGGGTGTCTTCTTCTCCCTCCCCCTTTCCCTCTGCCTTTCCTTCTGCTGTGCGCTCTCTCTCTCAAATAAATAAATAAAATCTTAAAAAGAAAAACTAGTTTAGCATTATCTGTTCTAACGTAGTTCAAAAGTAAATTTCCCTAGGCCCAATTTAGTGTATCACTACAAAGCAACAAGAAAAATTAGTGCCAACATGAAACAGAGTTTAAAATTATAGATTCTGCTCTTTGACAGAAGGGTTAGAAACACGTGAATTCATTACCTGCTTCAGTAACAACCACATTTTGATGGGTATCTCCTGGTTGATTTGTAAAATAAGTCTTTTCTATAGGAGAAGTTGGATTAATCTCTGTAAATAATAAGTATAAGCATCATATATAATGATAAAAAAGAGAAATACATAGATGAAAATAAAAGTCTATGAATAAAAGAGAAATACAAACATAGATGAAAATAAAAGTCTATGAATAATGTAAATACCATAGTTTTGATTTCTGAACCATTTCAGATAAAAGTTATATTTTGAATTTAATTTTACATGAAATTATTCAACTGTGAAGTCATCACTTAGTTATCTTTGAATAAAGTATCCACTTGGTGAATCTTGCAACTCAGATTTGGTGAATCCTTGCAACACCCAACTGTATTTAGAAATCAATAGCATGTCTATACTGATGACACTCAGCAGATGACTACATGGATTGCATTTGGAATTGATGATTCAAGTAACAACGTGCTAAAACATATTTCTATCCTAGAAAAACAATGACATAGTTAGATTTGCTTTCCAGGAGTGGCTATTTCTTTAAAAAATAATAATAATAAATTAAGGCTTGTAAAGTTATTTCTTTCCCTGGTTTTATGAGACAAGATATCTTCAGTGGTCATGCAATTAAAAAATGTCAAAATTTCTTACCATGATCTGGTACCGCTGTGCTGCCTATTTTTTTCCCCAAGGGCTCTATTTGTTAAATTAATAGTTCAGTGAAAGTAAATTGAATTAGTAAGAAAAAAGAACCCTGTAACTTATCTTCATTTGTTTCAAAATATAATTCTCTGCTTATGTTTGTCATTTGATGGAAAGAAAAAAAAACATATGTAGCATTTTGTATTAGTGTAGAATGTTAAATCATTTTTAATATTATGTTGGCTACTCTAATTTGGCCACATAGTCTTTCTTTATTGAAAGTTTATCATACACCATCCTGTAATAATATTTATTATTTTCTTCTACACATATGTCACCCTAACACTTTAATAGCCTCCTGTAGGTTTTACAGTCCTACCCTACACTCATTTTTCTACAGAACTTAGGCATTCTATGCCTGTTGCTACTCAGCTGGTGTTTGCTGAACAAATAATACAGATATTATGTATTTTACCAACACAGAACTGGTTATTCTTAAAAATTATCTTAATAATCTTTAAATTGACGTGATTGCTGATAAAAAAATATTATAGAAACTTAATCCCATATACACTATTTTTAATGTCTTAAGAACAAGAGTGCATAATGCAATTTTAATAAATATAAAAATTAGTTTCTGAAGTATCCTCATAAAAATGTCTTAGGATAACACTGATAGAAACAAAGAATAGATATGTAACTCATATATAATAATAAAAAACAGAGAAAAGGATGAGAAAGTCAGTGAGTTATTCAGTTTCTTCATACTTAGGTTAATTGTTTACTACTTCAGATATCATTAGTCATATTATTAGATGGTATGTAAGAGGCAGGAGGAGGAGATTAAGTTCAAACCACACAGCACTTCTGGTAATTGAAGAATAACGTTCAAAATAATTGGTGTTTTAAATCATAAATTTTAATAAATACCACTGCTTACTCCTCCAAACCCCTCACCACCAAAAACTAATCAGCCTCCTCTAAAAGAGCACTGACTATATAAGCAAGAAATTTATTCAAACCAGCATCCTCCATAAATAAAACACTAAGCTCAAGGAAGGCTGACAAGTAGAAAATAAATAAAGATGAAACTATCTAAATTAAAATAAAGAATAAAATTCAACTATCTTAATAAGACTATAAATATAGTTACATATTTATAACTATATAACTGAAATGTCCATCAAAAACAAAAAAATATATAAAGGAATCTTATTCACAAAGTATAGATTATTTGAAGATAAAGGTAGAATGTAGAATTAAAAAACAATTTTTTATCTTAAATGCTCTTCCATGAGTAATAGGAATATAGATTACTTACACAAAACAAGTAAAAAAGATTCTGGGCTTGACAGTGCCCTGAATAATTTGGTAAGTATGAATGCAAAATAAAAATAAAATAAACCAATATATGAAGGGTCAAACAGTTTACTTAAAAGCTAAAGAGGGATCCCTGGGTGGCGCAGCGGTTTGGCGCCTGCCTTTGGCCCAGGGCGCGATCCTGGAGACCCGGGATCGAATCCCATGTCGGGTTCCCGGTGCATGGAGCCTGCTTCTCCCTCTGCCTATGTCTCTGCCTCTCTCTCTAGCTCTCTCTCTGTGCGACTATCGTAAATAAATAAAAATAAAAATTAAAAAAAAAAAAAAGCTAAAGAAAGGGGAAAGAAATACTAAGACTACTCTATAACATACTTTGTTTCATTCAATAGTTTCAAGTACATAGTATCACCAATTTAAAATATCAGAGAATTTCAATTTTATGTTTTTCCAAGAAAAAAAATAAAGACAAAGAACATAAGTGCATAACAGATTTGGCTTTGCAAAGGCTTCTAGGAGGGTAATGATGGATTTAGGGCTTTAAAGAATAAACTCACCAGGGATATAGCAAGCTGACTAATATACCAAAGAGCAGGATAAATATAAGAGAAGAGTAAATCTAATCCAAATAATCCCTTGTGCTTTAAGGTCTTATGAGAAAGGAATCATGTAATTTCAAGAGAATAATGGAAATAGCAGTACTTGATTATAATTGCCTTCCATGAACACATTATGAGGTCAAGTAGACAGCCCCTCAGAAGACTTAAAATGACACTTCCTGACACTGAGGAGGAGAAAAAAAAAACAAAACAAAAAAACATCTCAAAGCCTAAATGTCTAGTTTGATTTTATTAGGTGAATAAACAAATTAGTTCACGTAGTTTTGACTAGTCTCTACTTTTGGTCAAATATTAATTTAGTTGAGCTGTCCTCTTCAAAGTAATTCAAATTTACTATGTCAACAGGAAACCCCACCAAGTATAGCTCAGGTCAATGCAATCTTCCCATGCTGCACAGGGCAAGAAGTTGGAGACTTCAAACAAAAAGCTATTTAAGGGGACATATTCCAAAGAATGACAAATAGGAAGACCATGACACATGCCCCTACTTTTTTTCCACTGTGGCTCAGTGAGCTATCTGACTGAGCCAATCTGACTGTCATGGAGGAGCACATGCAAAGTTACATGCCAACAAACAATAAGCTAAGGTTCTGGGAGGGAGTCGCTTTGTTCCCTTAAGTGCATTAGATAATCATCCAAAGATCTATTGCTCACATGTGTAAAACTCTTGGTGCTTTGGTGACTTATACCTACTTTCACACACGTTACACTAAATATTTACAATATTTTAAAATAGATTATTCTTTACAAAATCTCTTTACAAAAACAAAATTTGACCTTAAGGTTATAAATATTATTTTCTCTTAAAGACAGCTCTCCACATGTGTGTAGTTCCTCCCTTGTACTTAACTGATCGGGCAGTTTGCTCTATAGCATAAAGTATATTTCAGTTCATGGGGGATATGACAAGCTGCAAAGTCATTCTATGTTTCATAGCAGAGAAACAAAATGAGCCAAAGGCAACGAAACCTGAATATAAATAGTAAAGATAAAAATGTAAGCAAATATGCACAAAATCTGCCATACCTACTTACTGTTCTTCCTACCTGGTTCATACTTGCAGATGTAATTGTGCTTCATGTTGCACCTGTCATCATTCCACTGGTAAAGGTAGGGACCGCCAAGACCTGGATTGGCTGTTGGCTGATGATACATCACAACACACTTTTCACTTCCACAGGAAGGTTCATCAGTATACCAGTTTCTATAAAAAGAGCAACAGGAACACCTCAAAGTGATTTCTTTTGTTTTTTTTTTTTTATTTCATTTATTTATTCATGAGAGGCACACAGAGAGAGAGAGGCAGAGACACAGGCAGAGGGAGAAGCAGGCTCCGTGCAGGGAGCCCGACATGGGACTGGATCCTGGGTCTCTAGGATTAGGCCCTGGGCGGACGGCGGCGCTAAACCACTGAGCCACCCCGGCTGCCCCAAAGTGATTTCATTCATTCTATTATTTTGTTTTGTTTTCTGTTTCAAGTGTTTTTTTTTTAAATTCCAATTAGTCAACCTATAGTGTAATATTAGTTTCAGGTAGAATTTAGCGATTCATCACTTACATGTAACACCCAGTGCTCGTGACAAGTGCCCTCCTTATAACCCCCTTCACCCATTTAGCCTATTCTACTCTGACATCCTCTCCAGGTAACCTGAAATCTCCCTTCTCCCTTTTGAGTCTCCCAGAGAACATCCAACTCTGCAGGATCCCTACTCACCGGTACTGGGAACTGCTTCCATCAGACCACTGGTAGAGATCTGGGCAGGCACCAGATGTTTGGCCCTCTCCATTTCTCCAAAGCCCTATCCAGAAATCACCATCAGAAATCCCCGTTCCTGGTTTTGTCAGGTTTTGCAACATACTTTCTATTAACTTCTGTTCTGCTTCATTGTCCAAGCTGAGAAGGGCTCCCCCCTCACTCTCACAAGCCAGGCGTGCCTCCTGGAAGCTCACTCGGCTGGACAGTTCATGGAAGTAGGCCATTTTGTAGCAGGGATGCTTGAGGTCAGCGAAGCACACCTTTTGGCCTGAAAAAAAAGAATCTAGGTGTTGATTATCTGAACTGTATTTATAATGCTACTATGAATTAAGATTAAAGAACCAATCAAAACAGGATACCCTCTCCCAAGAACGATTCTTCCACTAAATCATTTTATGGGGTTTATTTTTTAAGTTATTATTTTCAATTTTTAAAAGCAAATTGATTCCCTAGTAAACCTGTAACATAAACTTTTAAACACCATACTTCAAGAAAATTTTTGTTAAGGGAACTCATGATTCGTCTGGCTTAGATATAAACTACCATAGTAAATAAAAGTAGCTGGAGAAATTTCGGCTACCTAGAGCAAAGAGAGCTAAAAAGTCAAAATTATTAAAGAAAAATAATTCATAAAACAATTTAATTTTTAAAAACAAGTAAAAAAAAGCAATGTATAGAAGGTATGAAAGATATAAGGTGGCAAATCTAAGGTGTAAATATCTTTTATTGTATATACATGAAAGCAGATACATTAAAATCAAAAGTTAATAGAGGCCAGAATGAATGTAATTGCAGTAATAACATATTAATATAATATGGTATTATAAGTGACAGGATAGCTTTCTATAGTACTCTAGATTAATCTTTGAAAAAATTCTCATTGCCAATTTTCCGATTTTATAGAACATGGTATGTGTGAGCTCCAGTTGCTCAGCCAATGACTTCTGTCCTTTTACATAGACATCTCAAATGAGTTATAAACTCATAAAGTTTTCCAAGTTTGAACTTAGAGAATCAAGATTCGATCTATTTTAGAGAGTGGGAGGGAGAAGGAGAAAGTGAGTGAGTGCACAGGAGTGCAGGGAGGAGGAGCAAGGGGAGAGAAAGAGGGAGGACAGGAAAGAACTTCAAGCAGACTCCAGAACCCATGCTCAGGAAGGGGGGAGAGGTGGAGGTCATCTGGATCTCACAACCCTGAGATTATGACCCCAGCCCAAGCTGAGTTGGACATTCAACCAACTAAGCCATGAAGGCACCACTGAATTTAGGAAATCAAATACTTAAAAAAAGCAAATAAAAAAGAAATGCATTTTAAATTTGAAACAAAAATCAGGTAATAAATGAGCTACTAAAATCCCATCAATTGCTAATTATTATCAATCTTTGGTAACTTGGGTAGAGATCAGGGTAAACTGAAATTTGGTCATACCTCTCTTTTAAAAACAGTTGATTGATTAGCTAAAAACAAATTAGATGATATTTATGAGAACAAATTATTTTTCAGCCTTAGAGTCCTGATTTATGTATTAAATGGAGACATATTAAATAAAAGGACTTCAAATATAACCTAAAAAATGCCCTATTGGACTAGTTGAAATTAACTCCTTTATGAGTCTAAAAGTAGTAACACTGCATTTCTTTTAAACCTTCCCTAATTTAGGGGCTCCTGGGTGGTTCAGTCAGTTGAGCATCTAACTCTTGATTTCGGTCAGGTCATGATCTCAGGGTCCTGATATCAGGTTCGTCAGATCGAGCCCCACATGGAGCCACCAAGCTCAGTGGGGAGTCTGCTTGAGATTCTCTCTCCCTCTGCCCCTTCTTCTGTTCTGTCTCAAATAAATAAATACAACTTTAAAAGAAAAAAAATAACTTTCCCTAATTTAGAATTTCATTCAATTCAAATCCAAATTCATTTAAATTTACCTATCCCCATCGTTAATCTTAACGATTGGTAGTTTTATTGCATATTTCTTTAGGAATAAAGACTGGCAGCAACAAAATGTCCAAAATGTATGAATAAATAAAGAGAATAATCAGAATTTGGAAAGGACATTTAAAATGTAATTTTTAGGGATCCCTGGGTGGCGTAGCGGTTTGGCGCCTGCCTTTGACCCAGGGCGCGATTCTGGAGACCCGGGATCGAATCCCACATCAGGCTCCCGGTGCATGGAGCTTGCTTCTCCCTCTGCCTATGTCTCTGCCTCTCTCTCTCGCTCTCTCTCTATCATAAGTAAAAAAATAAAAAAATTAAAAATAAATAAATAAATAAATAAATAAATAAATAAATAAATAAATAAATAAATAAAATAAAATGTAATTTTTAGGGATCCCTGGGTGGCGCAGCGGTTTGGCGCCTGCCTTTGGCCCAGGGCGCGATCCTGGAGACCTGGGATCAAATCCCACGTCGGGCTCCCGGTGCATGGAGCCTGCTTCTCCCTCCGCCTGTGTCTCTGTCTCTCTCTCTCTCTCTCTCTCTCTCTCTCTCTCTCTGTGACTATCATAAATAAATAAAAATAAAAAAACAAAAAATAAAATGTAATTTTTATTTATACTTGTATTTTAAGAATTTTTATGAATTACAGCACTTGGTTAAACCACCTATCCTGTATCTCTAAAGATTTTTAAAGTCACTATATTCATATGTGTGTATGTATATATGCATATATTTTTAAAAATCATACATATATGGCATATATATGCACATATATATACATATACATATACACCAGAACCCCAAATGAAGCTTAAAATAATTTTTGAGACCTCTTAATGGAATATCACCCTTTTTATCAAGCTTCATTGTGCAACATTACTGCTCTACTTTGGCTCTAACAACATCTGTGAATATTTAAATACACAGGCAACAAAAGTTTGATTTAAAACAATCTCTCAGGGCAGCCCGGGTGGCTCAGCGGTTTAGCGCTGCCTTCAGCCCAGGGCCTGATCCTAGAGACCCGGGATCGAGTCCCACGTCGGACTCCCTGCATGGAGCCTGCTTCTCCCTCTGCCTGTGTCTCTGCCTCTCTCTCTCTCTCTCTCTCTCTCTCTCTCTCTCTCTCTGTCTCTCATGAATAAATAAAATCTTTTAAAAATAAATAATAAAATAAAATAAATAAAACAATCTCTCAGAATTGAATTTCACATACCTCTACATGTGAATTTCACATATGTCTATGTATTGAGCAGAATAACTTTTCCTAATAACTCAGTGACATAACTGCAACTGCAGATGATCACATCAGGTCATAATAGAGCCACACATATACCAGGGATATTACAGTGTACAGGATTTAACTAACTCTACCAGCAGTGGAACTCCTATTGTTCTATTGTTTACATCCGCCCCCTTATACCACCTGACAAGTAAGCCAATTATACAGAGAAATCTCCAGAACAGCCATCCTGTTTTGTTTTGTTTTTCAGAGCTTCTTTGGTTCACTTCTGATGTCTGCTGTCAACATTAAAAATGCCATGTGTCCCTCTGTCATTATTTCTCATTCCCAACCTGCCCATAGCCTCTATTACTTTTCTCATCTTTTTCCGATTTCAGTTAAGATTTGGTCTCAGAAAACAGACTACCAATAATTTTATGTAAAATGAAGTCAAATTACTTTGTGCTAAGAAATTAAGGTAGAGCTTTCCTGCTTTCTTAAGATTTGTCTGCATAAACATGATTCTTGTTGGATTGGAGTTTTTTTTCACCAGGTATTTAATTTTGTAGCTGATCAAGAAAATTTGTCAGTAGGGGAAGGAGAGGAGTGCTATTATACCCAAAAAATACGACATTCAAGCTTTGTACTCTTAATTACAGTACATCACACTGAGTCAACATCGGTATCGCATCCATTCTCCCTCAGAATTGGCAATTAATGACCTATGAGGACACTCAGAGTCAGGAGGGAGCAGAAATCAGGAGGCCATTAACCTCACCACAGTGTTTGACTGATAGGCATTCAATATCTTGGCACAAGCTGAGGAGAGTCCTCTAATAAAATAGTAGCAACAAGGCAAGCCAGCCAGCCGGGTGTCTCTCTGTCTCATTAACTGTGATCTGGACCCGGGAGCAACACACTGTATAATAAGAACAAATTAACGGACTGCCCCCAACTAATTGTTAATGAAAAATAAAACGTTAGTATGAATGACCACAGGAAAATGGAATTAAAGAGACATCAAGAGGACAAATCCGTCTGAAATAAATAATCCTTTAGAGAGAAACATGGAAGTCCCAGTGGCTGATTCTAACACAATTATTTATTTTAATTTCTCCTAATTTATTATTAGATTTTGTGATGACTTCATTGTTTAAAATGGTTGTTCCTGATAATATTCTAAAAATGTCATTAAGCCCAGTAAGTTCTGCGCTTGCATTTTTAAAGCAAGCTATTTCCATTTTCTTCTTCTACATCCTTTACATATTTCTAAGTCTCAAAATATATCTCAACTGCATTCCCTTGAGTTTTCAATTTGCTCAATTTTTTTACTCTCAAGAACTCTCAGACTTGAATTTGACTTCAGCATTTCTGAAATATTAAATTATCTACCAACATTGTTTTGCAAGATGTCAAAAGGAGCCAATATTTTTTTTTAAATTAGTCAGGCATTTGAATGAGTAAAAATTGTTTATGTAACAAAGCCAGCACGCATTCAGAGGGTGCCTACCTATGATTTATATGCCAACAATTTCTGCTCATTATCTTTGATATGTTAAAAATAAATACAACACAGATTTGTTTATGGTAAGGACACAGAAATGATGACAAGAATTAACTCATTTATAAAATTAAGATAGCTCTTTGAATGAAATGCTTAAGAGAACTTTAGTGTAATGGGGAAATTCCTAACATCACCATGTGAGTGTACAGTGAAATAATACTAATAAGAGAAAAACCTAAGGCAGGGACTGTATTTAAAGTAATGACTGATACTGCAGAAGTCCTAGATGATAGCTGGCTGTGGCACTGTCTGTGACAGGCATTCCCCTCTTTGGTTGTGGATGATGGAGTGGTCCAGGGTCATGGTGAGGAGGTAGAGACTATGGTGGCTGCATAGCAGAGGGACTGTCAGGGGATCAGAACAGTGGCCAGTTACCACTAGCACAGGTAGATACTAACTCCAACGTATTCACTGAATATCAGCTGTGTCCTCAGATTTTGAACTGAAAAGTCACTAGCAGTTCAGATCTAGCAAGGCTGTTTTCAGAAAATTATAGATACATTGCCCAGTTTTATTACCATTTATATATATAGTAAGTTAGAGCTGACACTG